ATAAAGTATCATTTCGATGTATTAATAATCTTACTTCGTGATTCATTAATGTTTTATTTTTAAATTTTAATATGTAGGGGAATTCGGTTAAATAGTACATTGTGGGCATATCGTATTGATTTGGTGATCAATGATTTCAATGAAGCGGAATCATAACCTCCAATTCTGGTGATGCAAATGGTGAAACCTACGTTATACAATGGTATTCTTATTATATTATTTCAATATAAATTTGAAAATATTTGACACAAAAATTTAAGTCTAACGATTAATGTTTTTAATATCTTAAAACGAGTGTCAATTACAACATTTTATAATGTCAAGGGCAATCTCTAAAATATGTTAGAGTATTGTTACAAAAACCAGCATTTAGTCATAGACAATTCTATGTTGCAGTTTCAAGAGTAACACATCATAGTGACTTGAAGATTCTGATATGCAACGAAGATAATGTTTCTACAAATTGTATGAATAATGTAATTTATAAAGAAGTCTTTCAAAATTTAGAAAGCAAAAAACTTTTGTATCTTAAAATAATAAAATCTCTATATTCTATTAGATATCATTTTTTATCACTCAAAAATAATCTTAATTTAGTAATATAAATATGACCCGTGCAACGCACGGGTGTGATACCAGTTTTCATAACACAATCATCGTAAATACTCTCTCGTGTTTATATAATACAGGATAATCTCTCTAGAATGAGCTATAAGCTCCATCAATAGTTTTTAAGCCAATATTATGTACATGTATAAATCCCCAATTTTTTTTAAAAAAAATCTCATCATTGACAGGGTACCATCGAAAAAGGCTTGTGGTTTTCTCTTGATTTGGGTTTCCACATAAAAAAATAGCATGTTTGTTAAAAAAATTTCCCTTTTTGAACGAATTGTGCTTCCATGATTCTAAGATCTACACGTAAAATATGGATATTTTCACACTTTTAGTGGACTGACATAGAAATCTTTTATTTTTTTCAAAGAGTTTAATTCTTCCATTATGTTTTTATACTAAGGCTCATAAAATTAGTGTGGGCCTTAGAACCACAAAAGAATTTACCTTTTTAAATATCAGGAATTGTAATGCCAAAATACTTTAGATCAGAATAGAGGGGAAAGAATCGTAGGACCTCAAGAGGGGTTTCTCGCTAACGTATCTCTGGACCAATGACATCCCACATTGTCTCCATCAAAGCATGATCTACACCATCATGTGGATTCTCAAAGTCTCTCATATTTATTGTTTGGCGATTGTCTATCCTGGTCAAAATGCCTACTGTTCTATTATGTTCTCTCAACACATAAGAATAGTGACATTCCAATCCTTCCTAATCCAACTTGACAAACCTCAACGATATCACGTGCAGGACGTTGTGTTGTGATTTGTCCTTGGATCTATTTGGTAATCTCTTAGGAATCACACATGACAACAAGTTACATATACCTTTACTCTATGCTCATATTAAGTAGTCCTTTAAGTATTACCCAAACTTCTACTACACTCTAATGCATAGTATTACACAAACACATAAACCCTCATAACCAATTTCCGTCATGGTCTCTTAACATCCATCCACAACTTGTACCTATAGTAATTTCGCTATTGTCCACATTTAAACATATGCCATTATTTGGTCTTTGTTAATAAGCATGTAGTAAGTGGGTTTCATTTGAAGATTTTTGAACAATATTTCAATGTTAGACCATAGCTTGGATAGTTTTGATAAGCTTTACACTTATAATTACCTAAAATTGTAATGCCAAGTTGGACCATATAAAGTGGTTATTTCTCTGTACTGCTGATCAAAATAACTTATAAGTCGCTCTTAATGTATAATCAGCTAATGACATGTTTCTCTGTACTTATAAGCTGTTTATAAGTCAGAAAAAATAAGTAGGTCTTACCTATTTAGAAAGCCAACTTTTTCATTTCTCAATTTTGACTAGATTATTTGCAAAATTATATCTCACTATTTACAAATATTTCCAAATGACTTTTCTATAAGTTAAGTCATTTTACTCCTACAAAAGAATATTCGATTTATAAGCAGCTTATAAATTAAAAATTATTTATCAATAATAAGCCAATAAACACTAGCATAAAGAAACACTTCAAAAATGAGTATCATATTTTATCCAAGCATTATCAAATTAATTTGACAGGTAAATTTTCTCATAAATCTTCGGAAGTGGTTCTCTTATCACCCAAACCAAGAGAGAATCTCTTACTTCATAAATCTCGAATGCACCAAAATTTACATCGAGCTTGAGTCGAGCTCAAGCTTATCGAAAGACCAACCTATTCACGGACTATTAAACAAGTTTTTTTGTCATGTTTTATGACTTGTTCTCTTCACCTGATTTGATTGATTCTGATTTGATGAGAGTAAATTTTAATCTCATCTGGCCTAATCTAATATGGTCTGATTTGATTATAGTTATAGTTAAAGTTATTTCTGATTTGATTTAATCCATTGCTACCTAATCTGATTCTAATACGAATAACAAATAAGTAATATGAAAATGGTTTATCTCTTTCAATTCAACTTATCTGATTAAAATAAGTTCTGATCTAATTTGATTATAATTATATTTAAAATTGTTTCTGATGTGATGTAATCTTATTAAGAATAAGTAATAAATAAGACACGAAAATAAGCCAACAAAGTGAATAAAGTCTATGAATAGTGAACGAAAACTTTATTGGAGGGAGGGAGTAAGAAAAAAATTGAACAACACAAGCTCTATATTGAAAAGAACAAGGTCTTAGCTTGATCATCTTCACCTCTCTCATTTCCAAAACAAACACTGAAGCCTTTTACTCCATATAAATTTAATTCAATATATTCATTTTGGCATGTGGTTCTTAGACCCTTTTGAGTGCTTCTAATTTATAGACTTACCAGTAAAGGGATTTTTTTTTGTCAATTATTCACTAGTGTTCTAAATAGTTTTTTCTCACACCCACATCCCCCCCCCCGGCCCCCACCTAAAAGCTAAAACCACTGGGGTAGGGTCGTTGTTGTGGTTACAACAACAAATTTGGCATTCAATAGGCAGCCATTGTCGATTGAGACTCCGTGAAAGAGCATAGTAAATCAGGAACCGGATCGGGCTGAAAATTGTCCAGTAATTATCAATCATAATACATATAAACTGAACATAAGAATCTATCTTATACAACAGTAACCATACACTATGTTGTCTGCACTCTTGAGACACACCTTACCACCAAACACCGCTTAGTCGAAAAGCCCTTCGTCATACCAAATATCAACCAAGAAGTCTACCATCTCCTGCATGTATTGTACTTTATGTATTAGTGTCGTGCTACAGTCACACCAAGGTTGACACTGCTAGTGTCTCACAGACTATCTGAGCATCGTTGTCTCCAACGGTGTCACCCATGGGGTTAAATTAAAGTAGCATTTTTCAATATGTAATAGTGCTGAGGAATCTATGCTAAGGAAGAAGATAATGATTGCTTACCGGTAAGGGAATTCGTTCCGCGAAGGGCTCATTAGTTGACAGCAAGTCGTCATAGTCCAGTGTCCAACTGCACCACATTTTTAGTTACATGAATGTAAGTGCTCACAGTCCAACCATTGAAATCAAGAATTTTTTTCTTGCATTGTTCATTAATACTCCCCTCCGTCCCATTATTTTCTTCCTAGTTTGACTTGATACGATTTTTAATAAAATAGAATGTGTATGGTTGTGGTTTGTGAAGAGAAAAGAGACTTGATATGGACCACACATTTCTGTCCTTAAAAAGAAAGAGGAATAAATTTTTGGGACAACCAAATAAGAAAGAAGGAAGCTAATTATGGGCTAGAGGGAGTAATAGATTAGAAATTGATCACCTTATGATTGGGTCCTTTGCCACCTTTTCTGGCTTCTCCGAAGGGTCGCCAGTCCATTTTCTTCTGCTCTCCTCCCAAGCAATGGCAGCTGGAACACATTACGCACGCTCACATACGTAACATAAGGAGACATTTGGCTACATATATATAGCTAATGCTAAACCATATAAGGGACTAGGCTAACCATGATTGATAAACACAGGGGCATTTTCGACACTTTCAGAAGCCTTCTTGGTTTCTCTATCTGTTTTGCCACCTTCCACCTGTAGCTTATCCTTTGAGTTGGGAATTCCGGCATTTATCTCCATGCCCTTTCTTGTGAAAAATCATTACCCTTTGCAACACGAGAAGGTCTCTCAACAAATGTGGGCTCAAGAGTCCTCTGTGTAATGCAATCAAGGCTGTGCCAAAGTGATTATAACCGTGTAAAAATCAGAGGAGGGACTGGGATGCAATTTGTAAATAAGTACTTTTAAAAAATACCAATATGGGGCTTTAACGTCAACAAAAGCATTTATTGCCTCGAGTTCAGCGTGAGAGAGAATCCACTTGTCATCGAGTTAGAGACGGTTACAAGATGACCCAAAAACGGACAAAAAATATGGAAATTACAGCACGACTCTAGCAACGTTCATCACATCAGCAATGCGTGTTTCCAAATTTTCTCAGTCAAGACCACACTTACGGCGTGTGAATGCCAAAACAAAGACAAACCTTGGACACGCTTGGTGCGCTTTCAGATATTTTTAAATGGTGCATAATTGTATATTAACATTGAAAATGCGAAAGTTACATGTGACCGCAATATAGCCTTTTCAAAAGATTAAAGCTAAATGTTGAAGTAGCCAATCGAACACTTCTTTTAGAACCATTAATTATAGTGAAATTTGCACTAAATAGTACTAAAACATATGTCATTTCCCAATGTAGCGCTTACACTTTTTTTATTCCCTAAATAGTACTTGGATAATGTCCAGTGACGATGGACATTTAGTTTGAACAATGTACAGTGGCGGTGGACATTTACTTGAACAATGACCAGTGGTATTACATTGGGAAATAAAAATATATGGTACTACATAGGGAAAGTCACTATGTTTTAGTATTATATATCCATGCCAAACACACACTTATGCTACTTCTATCAACATAACAAGTAGTTTCTACTTATTTGGTTGAAATGGATGCCACCAAAATGCATTTCCTTTCAGAAAATTTGCCGGATCAGAGCCTTTTCTTCCAAATAATCCCTTACCAAACATGCTCATTAATAAATTTTCCATCCAAGGGATATCCGCCGACCGCCGGTGCCCTAATTTGTACCGGGGCACGGGCATAGAGCACACTAACCAACCTTAAGGTAAATTCAAAGATCACCCGGTACAAATTCAGATCCTAAACACAACACTGCAAAGATCATTAAATGAATATGCAAAAGATAACGGCGACATTGCTAAAATGCGCCTGCTCATTAATGGAACTCTGCATTATCTCCAACATTTTGACTATCCAACAACCCTAAATGACAAAAGTGGCCTTGAATTTCATACAATTTCACAGGGAAGACAAAGATGACTGATTTACAGTCATACCAAACAAGAACTTCCTTTGAATTCACATCTTTGAACTCAAAATCTGGAGCCCAATCAGAGCAAACGCAAATACACAACAGAAATCCTACAAAAGCGTCTCAGGAAACTGCATAAATAAGCTTATATTTGAGAATCTTCTTACACACATTGAAGAAACAGAGCCAAATATCCAGAAATATATATTACAGAGAATTACCGCTACTGTTCTCATGCTATAAAAACAAAGCAAATAATGTCTAGGAAAGTAAATAATTAGATAAATAAAATGAAATACTGAACGGATAGAGAGAGAGAGTGAGTGAACAGTACCTTGTGGGTGTCCGAAAACGAGAAGAGAAAGAAAGATAAAACGGGGTAGGAAGGGGTATATATATAGTGGGAAATTTCTTGACCCTTACTTAATGCCCAATAAAAACAATATTCGGAGTGATTAAAGATTTGGGCATGGATATTTCGAGATTCATTCAAGAAATGAGGCGTGAATTTCTCTATTCATTTTACAGAATTATTAAAGGAAAAAGAATTGATATGGGTCATATATTTGTTTTCTTAGAAAGAAAAATAAGAAAAATTTGAGACAATCCAAATAAAAAAGAAGGTAGATACTTATAGAACGGTAGGAGTATTAGGACCTATATTCAACATAGAGCTGATGAATTGGTCGGTGGAGTCAGATTCAGATTCAAATATTTCGGATTCAAATTGTATCAGATTCAGATAATATTGGGTTTAAGTTCAGAACTACAAATTCATGACTCAATGTCATCATGTTCGTGGTGGCCTAGCAAGTTGTGAGATTTATTTTTAAATTATTTCAATTCATATTAGTACTTGCATTTTTCACTAAAAATTAATAAAAGTACATTTAATAAACCTCTTAAAATATTTTATTATGAATTTTTAATTACTTTCAGATATAATGCAGTCTATAGTTTGGGTATCTCAACTTCTTGAGTTAACTTTTGGGATTGATTTGGGCTCAAGTCTATTCTTTCAACATGGTATCAGAGCTAAGCTATTGATGTTGGGACCGCGCCCGCAGTAATCTGCGCCTCGTGTGAGGGGGCGTGTTGAGTTGTTCATCCCACATCGGCAATGTAGCGTTATATTTGTTGGTGATTTTAGTGTCATCAATTTATTTTGTGTAATTGGATTACTTCGAATGTAATGTTAATCGCCAAGGTTCCTTACAAAAACACTTGACACATTCAAATGTTTAGCATTGAACATTTGAATATTTCGCAATAAGACGTGATAGTTCGCGTAGAAAACCGCTGAAATGATAGATTTGACATAACCGCTGCATATATTTGAATGTTGTGACTAAACATTATAATGTTCTGCATATAGTTGTGTTGTTTCATCAACATACGCGCCCAATCGGAACTTTCCTATAAATAGATGGCTTCGGGTATGTTTGAGATAGTGAAAAATTCTATACTCGTTCTAGATACTAACGTCTTATCCGGTTAATGTATTTTGGTATGCCCCCGATATAATTTTAATCTGAAAGCGGGCGACTATGTGATTCATTCAATCTATCAAGATTCTTCACGTTGATTTGTATATTGATTTTGTAACGCTGCATAACCCCTCTCGGATTCCCATTATACACTATGACAATATGACACTATATATTTTAGAGTTTTTTTAGTATTATATATTGACATTATTGGTATTGTAACTCCTATTTTGAACAAATAAAAATATGAAAGTCTTATTTTAGCATTTTTCTCTATATTTTACTTCTATTTTTGTGTTTTTCCCATTTTTAAAAATATTTTCTCTCTTTTTCCTTTTCCTAGAATATTTTTAAAAATATATTTTCAATTTTATATAATGTTTTAAAAATTTTAAAATTCTGGGTTTGAAATTAAAATAAAAATAAAAAAATTAACATACATTACATCCATCTCAAATTAAACATTTTGACTTTTTGTTAGTTAGAATAATTTTTTGGAAAGTTCAAAAAAACCAAGAATAAAAAAAATAAAAAATATGGAAAAACAAAAAGAAAACTTAAAATACGCAAAAAAAAAAGTCTTAAACAAAAAAATTGCACACGCCTAAAAAAGTCCTTAAAATTGAGATGTCCAAAAAGGATATTCATTTTAATTTTTTTATTATTTTGTTTATTAAGTAATTCCTCATTTTTTTGAAGTTCTTAAACAAATTTACTTTTTCCAGAAAAAACAAATATTGTGAATTTGAGACGTACATACGCATTATATGTTAATTTTTTCAAACAAAAATAACTTTAAATTTTAAGAACATTATAAAGATAATTTTTAAAAAAAACCTTTATTAATAAATGAAACAAAAAAAAGGAAAAAAATGGAAAAAGCAAAAAATAAGCGAGAAATAAAACTCAGCACTGATACCCCATATGGTTTAAAAAATATACACCAAGGTCCCCCTTCTCCGCCGGAAAAATGACCGGAAAATGATCTGAGGAGGGGGGGACACAGGTGTAGCATTTTGAAACCACAGGAATTTTAAAAATAAGTTTAGAAAACAGATGAGGTATTGGTGCCTGTTTTGCAAACCACGAGGAGTATCGGCTCTATTTGGCCATATTTAAAATTTAAAAGTAATTGTTTGAAATTTATTAAAATGACAAAAATATATAGGGTCATGCTAGGGGTACACCAAAGGTGTACCCCATTTGTACACCACCCCTTCAATAACCACTCATTTATTTTTTATTTTTATTTACTTTTTTTTTTAATTTTCTTGCCTAATTGAGTGGTAATGGAGGGGGTGTGGGACAAATGGGGTACACCAAAGGTGTACCCCTAGCATTTTCTAATTATATAAGCTATATACTCCCTCCCTCTCTCAAAGAAGAAGCACTTATGGAAAACCCTCCCCCCATCCTCATATGCACTTCTGTTTGCATTAGTAAAATTTGCACTAAATATGACTAAAACATAATGACTTTCCTAATCTAGGACTTAAACTTTTTTATTCTCTAAATAGGACTTAATAATGACCTTGTGGGAGAAATAATGTCCAGTAATGATAGACATTTAGTTGAATAATGACTAATTCATAATGACCAAAAGTCCTACATTGGGAAATAAAAACATATGGTCCTATATTGGAAAAGTCATTATGTTTTAGTCCTATTTAAGTAAATTACTCTTTGCATTATTCAAGTGATGTGTTCATATTAGGTTTCACAAAGAAGAAGAAGACTGGGCTTAAGGTTTGAAGGGGTAGGTGAGGATGGGGAAGAGTTTAATTGAGATGAGGGTGGGAAATTACATTCTTAACCCTGCAAGTAAATAGCTGGAGTCAATTGTACTATATATATATATATATATATATATATATATATATATATATATATATATATATATATATATATATATATATATGAGAGATTGACTCTAGTGAGATGATATGCTTCGGTCAGATGACGCAAAGCTCACCACTGGCCACTGCAAAGCTCACCAAAGACAATTACAAAGCTCACCAAACTGTTAGGCACAGCTCACCATATTTTTTCAACACTTTGAATTTTTTTGAAAAAAAAATCAAAGGAAGGGGTGCTGACTAGACTTTGACCATTGACCGTTGACCATCACCGGCCACCGCCTGCCGCCGACCACCTCCGCCGCCGGTCTCTGCCGCGTCGCCGCTGCTGACCGGTGGTTGACCGGTGTTGCTATTTTATTTTTAATTATTTTTTAAATTTTTAAAATTAAAAAAAGGTGAGTTTTGGTGTTCAAAGTGGTGAGCTTTGCTTTATTTCCAGGTGAGCTTTATATTGGCCATTGGTGAGCTTTGCAGTGGCCAGTGGTGAGCTTTGCGTCATCTGACCGAAGCATGCATGTCATCTCACCGTGAGGTGTCATCTCACTGGAGTCAATTATATATATATATATATATATATATATATATATATATATATATATATATATATAGGATTGACTCCAGTGAGATGACACATTACGGTGGAATGACATGCTTCGGTCAAATGACGCAAAGCTCACCACACTACACTAGAAAGCTCACCAATGCACAATGCAAAGCTCACCTGGAAATAAAGCAAAGCTAACCACTTTGACACCAAAACTCACTTTTTTTTTAAATTTTGAAAATTAAAAAAATAAAATAAAATAGCAACACCGATCAACCACTGGTCAGCGGCGGCAGTTGCCAGCGACCGGCGGCGGGCGGCGGATTCCGGTGACCGGCAGCGGGGCGACCCAAAACTGACAAATTTCAGTAAAGTTGGGATTATTATGCATCACAGTGAAATGTGAGATTATTTTTGAAAGACCGGATAAAGTTGGGATTATTTTGGGTAATTTTTCCTAAAAATAATGTATTCTATTCCTTTCATTTAAAAAAGAACAAATTTTATGGTGGATTTAAGGTCACCATGAACCTACATATGAACAAATTAATTATTTCTTTATTACTTAAATGAGAATTTATTTTTTCAAATAAAAAATTAAAAAAAGATTATGGAAGAAGATCACAAAATTAATATGCCATCAAAAAAATGACACTTCAAAAAACGTATCCGGTTTCTCGGAGTCAGCTTTTACCATTTTTTTCATTACTCCCCATTTATCTTATCTTCTCTCTCTTTCAACCCGACGTGGATCCGATGTGGATAGGTAACCTTGTTTGAACATGACATACTGAATTGACTAAAATGCCATTCCTACAAAGCCGCTGGAACAACCTTAGCTCTTGAGGTCGATGCCCGAAAGAGAAGGGGCAGTTTAGGATTTTTACACGTTTCCTGTCTAGTAAGGATGAAAAAAGAGCTTTTTAACAGGGACACAACTCGGAAATGGAGAAAAACACGTCCCACTAAAAAAAAGTTGGAAAAAATCGCTTCATTACTCCATTCCAAATATGGAAAAATAAATTAATAAAAAAAAAGTTAAAGCTGAAATATGGTCCCTAAAATAATTCTCTTCTTTGATCAACGTGCAAAATTCCGTAAATTTTAAAATGATTTTATTTACGAATTGGTAAAAAAAATTAAAAACTATATCAAAAAATCTACAAATAAGATGTGAGAAGAATATTTTATTTTATCAAATGATAAATAAAAATTTGCAAACAAACAAAAGTTATCGAAAGACTATAGTAGTAAAGTTGTAATTTTTTTAGGGACAGAGAAAGAATAAAATTTTATAATCATGTCACCTCTTGCTTTGTAGATCTTTTAATATAGTTTTTACATATATGAATTTTATTTTTAAATTTCAAACAAATTTG